CAGCTGCCTCAAATGGACACGACTGCAGGGCCAATGCCTCCATTCGCAAGGAGCCACGGTCCGATGCCCAACGGACCTCCCATGCCGGCGGCAACCAGCGGATACTGCACGGCTTGTCCGCGATTGGCCCTTTCCCTGGTCCGCGAGTCTCTTGACGGTCAGCCAACACGAATGTTGTCGGGTTCTGCGCTGGCCGTCGCTGCGCAAGACATGAAGTCGGGAGATGCAGCCCTGATTGGTTGGGCTAACGTCTCCATGTGCATGCCAAAAGCGGGCCGTCCTGGGGACGCTAAAACGTGAGATGAGCGCCCCACGTCGTCTGTGCCGTGGCACCGGGGAGGCTGCAAGGACGATGCAAGATTTGGCGTTCCCACTCCCCTCCAACTTTCTTCAATCAGCTCACACCCACAAGCATGTCATTGCCACACCCCACCATCTATCTCAGCATGCGCACCCCCAACCGCACACGCCCTCCTGGCTAGTCCCCAAGACCCACACACTTTATGTCCATCACTCTGCAGAGAGGCTCGAGCGCCCGTCGGCCTATGTCACTCGCTCCGGCTGCCCACGCCTGCCCTCAACCCACCCCGCAGGGCTGCCCCGATTGGGCCTCGGCTCGAGATGCCCTAGTCCGGGCTTCGGCGCAGTTGCGAGTGCGCCAGGCTATCCGTCTGCCAGCCCAATCTTGTCCAGAATGCCCCGAAGAAGGCCTTTGATCAATCATATCATCACGAGGCAAGGCCTGACTGTGCCGGCTTGGCAGCTGGTATGCAAAGAGCTTGAAGGGGACGTTGTCTCTTGCACCATCTGCAGTCGTTGAACGAAGTCCTCATCGCCTGCCGAGGCCACAGGAAGAAGCGCAAAGATATTTTTCGTGCCTATATATTAACGCTCAAGATACGTTTTACTTGTCCTGGATGTTCTTTGTGCATGTTGCAATCTGTGTCCCCCCCCCCCCCTCTTCGAAAGCTGCTACAGTCCAGCTGGTGTACTGAAGTCAAACGGTCGATTGGTTGCCTCAGTTCCATTGCCGTAGCCGCCGAGTCCGTCTCGTCTTTCGATTCGAAACTCGTTCCGCGATCCTTCTTGCCCTGCGGCCATGTTCTCTCGGCTTGTAACCTCGGATGACATACCTGCCTTGATTAGTTTCGTGCCCCAAGTCAATGAGAGCTGACGTACATTGTGGCTTCGAGGGCGTCTTTCCACAGACCGTAATGCTCAAGTACTTCAGGCAAACCTAATGATCTTTCTCCGGTTATGCCATCCCAGTCATCCATTCTCCCTTGGCCTATCTCCTTTACAAGCTCCAATTCAATCGAGCCAGGAAATTCTTTTCCGTGGGAGATTTCCAGTCCGGCAGCTTTCATCATGTCCACGACCCAAAAACCTTCGGGATTTTCTGTGATCTTGTGGTGCCCAACAGGCAAGGCAAATTCAACATCGATAAACGCGCCTGGGAGGAGGAACCTAGATTCTCAAGACTCAGTGAATGTTCCTTACGAAATAATACAGAATCGTTACCTAACTAGTTCCTCGAGAAGATCCATCGTGATTGGGGTCCCGGCGGTTCCGAAAAGTATGTATGGGCGAGACGCCGAAGTGTGGAGCTCGAAGTTGTGCCTGTTCTTGTCAGTAGAATAACGCATCAAGATTTGCCAACGTACGAATAGTCCTGGAGAACAATTTTGTTCTTGCTGTCGTCCTCCGTGTGATGCGATATCGAATCCGACTGTCGCATCGCCAAGGTCGCTGTTCTGAACCTATAATAACGATCGAAGACAATCAGTGTCCCCTCTTCAACACCCGAAAGATCAGCATAGCGCGTTCGTCTCCGCAACGCGTCGATCGTCTTCGTGGTTCCGTCATCGTGGATGGCGATCTGTGATGCGAGCTCGCTAATGTGATCAATCTCGGCGTCATGACTGTCATCTGAGGACTTCAATTTGTGTTCAACATCAGGAGTTTGACCGATCGCCATATTCTGTCTTGAAGAAAATCATTTGCTGAAAACAGCTGCGGAGTATGGTTCAAATCTGTTCAGCTCTCTACTCTGGAGCACGACGCCTTTACAACATCCTGTCTTTGGTGCACGGTCTCGTCATCTCGCCTCATAGTACCTAGCCACTAACCAAGCCGTGGTGGGTCTCGAAACTAGCTGGGGCTGACTGCCCGAAAACTCAAGACAAACACCCCTTGA